TTGAAATCTATGGATCACTACCAAACTGAAGAGGTTGAAACTGCATCATTTGCGAACATAGGGATCTGTTATCATTTGGGGGTCTTAGGCATCACTGATGGATCATAAACCTTCAATCTCACTCTCCCAATCACAGTGATTTTGGGAGATCTGCTCCCGGAAAGACAGTTGTTAAATCATCATCTTGATCATTGATGAGGCACTGATTACGACCCTCCTATTTCTACTCAAAGACACAGACTATCATCGAGGGACTGAAATACTTGCTATTGGGCACTCAAAAACCAAACAAGGATAAAGCCAACAAAGGTATTAAGATACAATAACTTGCCAGCCCACTTGGTACCTTGACTTCCAACAAAGTAGAAGTTGAGATTCAAGGCCCTCAAGCAGAAAACTTCATGATCTTGACTTGAGAGATATATCCTCAAAGGACTTCCAAGGGAAACATCATAGTAAGGCAAAAATTTCGTATACCATTTGCATGGTAGCCATATCATTGAGTTGTTCACTCTCACAGGTACGCTGTGGAAAACTTCAACATAACATCAGTCTTGAACCACCACCCGTGTGGGAATATGGTCTGTTAAATTACATTGGTCAGAAGGATGCACAGAAGCTTTGCAAGACAAATTGTTGCCAGATTTCATACATTCATCTGTGCCCTGGAGGATCTGACAAGTGGCCATGCATGAAAGTTGATACAATCCAGAACAAGTAAGTCTGTCAAAGTTTCTTGTCAAGCCCTATCAAGTGCTAATCAGGTCATTGTCTTCCCCTGGACCAGGTTGACCACCATTTTTGGATTACAGGGGTAAGGGAGCCAGCTATTTTACAGTCCTCAAGATATTTGCACTACAACTGATTGTTTTGTGAAATAGACTTTGTTTAGAAATTGGTAAGGCTAGGAAAGAGACAAGAGGTGATCTGACTACAAAAATGAGGAGCTTACAAAAGACTAAGGTGGAAGCCTTAAACAGATGTATAAAAAGACTGCAAACTAAAGAAATTGTGGGAAAAGGAGGTGAGGTTTCAATCTCATACCCCTTACCCTGTTGCTCAAACTGAGGTTTTGAAATGACAGGTCTTGGTCAAATAGAGATAGAATTAGAATGCAAGGGAGAATAAGCTGGGTACAAATACAAGGTTAGTTTTATCTATAAAAAGAAATTTAGGCGTAGATGTATGATTGACTTATTAACATGTAACATGAGGGCAGGTCATCATGCTTAGAGAGAACAACACAATTTGCATGCATGATAAATGTTGCCCAACTGAGCAATCATTGGGGTCTGTGATAATCCGCTTGGCATTAGCTGAAACGCTGTCATCAGAAGGTTTTCCCATACTGTGTCTAGATGACCCTACTCAAGGGATCTGTACATCTGAACACGTGACTATCATGCTGGCCGTGATAGAGAAATTGAGTCAAAGATCTTTACCAGGCATTGCCATCTGAAACCTTTGAACAAGCTGATTTAAATGTTGTGGGGTGACAATTAGGTTTCATAAAGGGAGGGAAGGAAATATTTTAGAGATTCCAAGGCTTTGGGTAACAGTATGTACTCCCCTCTGGAAACAATTGTGCTGATTTTTCCCTGGGTGATACTGATTCCTTGGATTTTGAAAGACTTCGCAAAAGGATTTTGGAGAGGAACTCTGTGAGAAGGCAGGTAACATGCTGTGAGTTTCTCCACATATATGCACATTGAAACAAGACTGAATACATAAATTTTCCAGCAAAATCAAACAGTCAAATTTTAGAGTTTCCAAAATTGGGATATACCCTGAAGCCAGTTGAGCAAGATGATGAACTTGTGAAAATTAGATCTTGGAAGTGGAAACAACACCGTAAAGCTCAAAAATTTCAGAAGAATGTATAATTTTCCAAGCAAAATTGTATGGTCAATAAAACAAATTGTCTGCAAAGCACATGACATGGTTGCATTGCTTATGAAAAACCAAGATATACACAGCAAGTATGCACACAAGCACCTGAGATTATCACGAGTAACGTGAGTATGAGCTTCAGTAAACCTAGATCAACTATGAGTGATAGAAGAAAGATAAGCACCTTTTGGAAAATGGCACGATAAAAGAAGGTAATTGATTGGGTAAGGAAACAACGGCAAACACAAGCAGTATCTTCTTATACACAATATCTTTCTCTAGACATAGATTTGCCGAATGTATGCGCATTGTGCATCTCACATAAAATGACAAGTTAGTTCTTCTTTGAGGATGAGTGAAACACAAGTGATTAGATAAGAAGGAATGTGATGAGAATGAAGGAAATGAAACTAGTATATATCCGTGATAGTTGATGAGTATACAATGATGAGAGTTTGCGGTGTTAACTAATGCATCAAAAAGACCCTGATCTCAATAATACTATCATGATTTCTTGGAAGTCTGTTTTTGAGCCAGACAAGAGGAACACCTGTATTTCCTTTCCTGTAGGGAGGAATTGCAGGGTATTGTAGTTGATGAACTGAATCTTTTCCGGGGGGAATCTTCATTGACATTTCCTGTATAGCGTTGTTTGCTGGTGGTACTCATATCATCAACATTGATGATTATGCAATATTCAATGACTACTAGTGGTGGGGAGTGATTCAAATTATCCTGTCGAAGAACTATATGAGGCAAACATATCATTTCAACTAAGCGCCCCATCTGAAGGAAATCGGGTCAACATTGCCCACCTGGTCTCCATTGTTCACTTTAGTCCAATTGTCCTTTGGAGGTCGGACGGTGTTGATGAATATCCAATGAAGACTTGTATCTTTGATTAGAACACGGTCATAGAGAGTTTCATGAGAAATGGACAGGCATGATGTATCCTAATTACAAAATCTTGGACAATACAAACCAATTTGATACCCGCTGAATGGTGCAGTGATTTCTTGAAATCATCCCATTGAGTTTTGGGTTACAGAGTGCAATACCGTGATGTCGGACATGATTGTCATAGGGGCTCGTTTGCCAAGTCTTTTCATTGTCTCTACCAATTTTTATCACCTTGGTATCTGGGCTGAAGGAAACAGGTGGCAGTCAACCATGTGATTCGGAAAGAGTAGCCCAAGGGATGAGAGGAGTATATCCTTCAGGTTCTAAGTGATCACCGAAAGGTACGGCTGGTAAGTCTTGAGGATTGAGGATGGCAGTTGAAGGTTGCAAAGTAAATGTGGAACCAGATGATGGAGGTGAAGATTTTGCTTCCTTGAAATCAAGGATGATTCCTGAGGAGGGAAGAGCATTTATTGACATCACAAAAGAAGGCTTAGACTACTTTTCAGTGGGTGTGGAATTATTTTGTCAACACTTCTTTGATGATTGACAGCAAGTTGGTGGTTGGAGTGACAGTTTGAAGTTAAGTTTTTGTCTACATCAGAGTTCTAAAACTCTGTTTTGCTCTTGTGACTTTGATGCTCCACTTGATGTTTGTGTCATGTCAAGCATCCCAGGAAATAGTGGCCAATGCCCTCGGTGGGGCCTCTGATTCTTAAATGTGTTGGATTATCTACATAGTCTTCTATTGTTTCTTACTCATCAACAAATTTGGAAAATAAAAGTGGCTGTTGTTGTTTTGGATTTTTTTTCATATCCTCGGTTTTCAATCTTGCAGGAAAACCACATGGAAACCTTAGGAAAACCGCAGTGAAACCTCGGGAACGGCTGATGACAGCCAGATCTTGATGCCAAAGCTTGAGCAGGACTGAGCTCATCTGCCCCGAAAGTGTATAAATAACCCATTCGGCTAACATCTATTAACCGTGGATATGAAAAAAATCAAATGAACAACAACTGACAGCCACCTTTATTTACCAAACAGTGTACTAATATCCTATCATTTGTCATCTATTAGTAAGCAGAGCTATTGCTGTGATTATGCTGCAGTGATCTATTAGGTATAAAGAGCTAAAGGTATCATTACCATTTGCACGTTTGCACATTTGCCCTCTCCCTTACCGTCCCTTATTCATCACTCTAGCAGGTTTGCTCCTTTTCAGTCATTGTGATAGTTTTCACTTCTAGTTGATAACTAGAACCGTTCCCTCAGGTTCATATACCCTTTTTGTGATTCCTCCCGGCAAAAAGGACTTAGGCTATTGACTTCAAGTGTAGACATCCCTCTAAGATTGAAACTCCTCTAACCTGGACCACATTGTTTTGAATTGCAGTACTCCTTCTTCCTGAGCAGGTCCTAGGCCGAATAGTGTAATTTTGCTCTCTGTGAGTTGTCCTGTCCAGAATATGTGGTCATATTTTTCTCAGGATCTCATAAACGTTCTCAACCCCTGGGACCCTTCAAGTTCCACTTATCTCTGCTGCCAGTATCACCTCAGGAACATCCCCTGTGTTATTTCCCTTACTCCCTCTTATTCCTTCTTGACCTTTCAATGGAACCCATTGGTGGGCATTTTTCTTCCTTTCTTCCTCTTTGGGTGCAGAGAAGGTGGTTATTGAGTTGATATTTTGTTGGTTTGCAGGATTTTGTTGTTTGACAGAGGAGATGATTCAACGTATGTTCAAGAACATGACATTCAACACGTTCAATTTGTGATCCTGACAAAGGAAGCAATAAATATTACAACAAAAGATCAACACTTTTGACTACAAGAAATCCTCTTGTCCTACTTGGGAGGCCTTAAGGATTCCCTTGAGTCAGTCGGCTATATTCTAATTGTGTTCTTGGAGGCTCCTTCCTTTCACCAAACAATTGAAACACTTTGTCAAGTCAAGTCTGAAGATAGTACTGGAAGACCCAAGGAAAACTTATGACAGTTGGAGCCAGAACTCAGAAATTAAAAGTGTGTATATGAATTCATTTTTTGGGCTGTTTTGGCCCATAGTGCGCCTTGTGTTCTCCCCTTCCCCTTGAACTGTTTCCTCTGGGCATGCTTAAAATCTAATCTAAAATAATCACCTTTCCCTTTTGAGTTCCACTGCTTGTGACATACTGATTCGCACTCTCTTTCAACACAGGACTGATTCACATGAATAGCCCTGTTACTTTCATGTTGCAATCTATTAAACAAGGCACTTTGACTGGACAATTTGGAACGGTGGGAGGATACTTTGCAAATTTCCTCAGGTGGTATTGTGTTCCGGAGGGTAAGAACTCTGCAACCGAGGAGCGTCACATAGGAAAGGTGATTATGCAAGCCTTAATCTTCTCTTCAACTACTTCATCAACACCTTGCCTACAACCCAAAGAAATACCTGGCTTGGCAAGCTTCAAGGGTAGAGTGGCTACTGTGCGAACATTTTATCAAAACTGGGTCAGAACCACCTCACCCGATGATAAAAAACACACACCTTCCAGTTGTGCTGCCTTTCTGTGCTTCCTTTCCTATGCAGTCACTGGCTTGATGTTTCCTAAGGGCCATGATAATAACTGCCCAAGCAGAGCAGATTTCATAGCTATAATGAAAATTTATACTTTGAACTACTAGTGCTGCCAAGGAACAGCTTCTCATGAAGGATGGGCTCTCACCAGAGCCGTGATCATTGAATATGTGACTCATGCAAGCACCTGTACGGATGTAGATTTACTTGCATGCCTGTCAACAAGTGTGATGGTGAATTATCTTTTGTCTCAACATATCTCCTTGGAGGGTGAGGGTTACAAGGGGGGCCCATAGGGTTGGGGGTAAAGTGCATGCACCTGTGCATGGTGCATGCCAGTGGTGCAGGGCCATGGGTGCAGGGGTGCAGGGGGTCATGGGTGCATAGGTGCATGGGTGCATGGGTGCAGGGACATAAGGGCATAGGTGCAGGTACAGAAGGGCATAGGTGCATAGGTGCATGGGTGCATAGGTGCATAGGGTTATGGGGTATGGGTGAGTAGGCACTTACAGGCTACATACAGAGATGTTCAGTATGTCATCGGGATCGGAGAAAGCTGACAAATACAGCCGTATGATAAACAAAGTTTGAAAAAAATTTGAACATTTTTTTTTGGCTGTATGGCCTAGTTGTAATGTAAATGCACCAGGAAAAAAGGTTTGGTGCGAAAATCTCCGCAGATCGCAAAGTTAGTTTCTCGGGCTATATCTTAGCCACCCGAAATGCTACAAGTATGGTCAGTACATCATCGGGATCGGAGAAAGCTGATAAATACACCCATATGATAAACAAAGTTTGAAAAAAAATTCGATTTTTTTTTTTTGGCCGTATGGCCTTGTTGTAATGTAAATGCACCAGGAAAAAAGGTTTGGTGTGAAAATCTTTGCAGATTGCAAAGGTAGTTTCTTGGCCTATATCTTAGCCACCTGGAATGCTACAAGTATGGTCAGTACATCATTGTGATTGCACAAGTGCAAGGAATACAGCCAGAGGATAAACAAAGTTTGGGAAAAAATTTCGAACACATTTTTTTTGGCTGTATGGCCTATTTGTAACGTAAATGCACCAGGAAAAAAGGTTTGGTGCGGGAATCTCTGCAGATTGCAAAGTTATTTTCTTAGGCTACAACTCAGTCCCATGTCATGCAAAGAGATCTTCAGTATATCTTTGGGATCGGCCAAAGCTGATGGATACAGCCATATGGTAATCAAGGTCTGAGAAAAAAAAGTACGACAATTTTCTTTGGCCGTATGGTTTACTTGTACTGTGAATGCAGCAGGAAACAAGTTTTTGTGTGAAAATCTCTGCAGATCACAGAGTTGGTTTTGCACAAAAGCAGTCTGTGCTAACCTTGTGGGGCTATCAAGTGCCTTCACTTAGATAACCTTCTGGCCACAGTCATCATCCAAGACAATTATACGTAACAAGTATGATTTCATTCACTTACACAAAATCTGAATAATAATTTTGTAAGTACATATCAGCTTGGCCATCTGTTGTTTTTAGACTCCAGCCAACAGTAGTAACTGAAAAAATTGAAAACAATATGTTTTTTCCGCTGCTCTCTATTTATTTTATATCTACATGATCACAAGCATCCCACACGCACAGACCAAACTGCAGACACTTGAAGGGTGGGAATCCAAGCCAAACATACAACATCTTAGTCTTAGGGTCTTTTAAGGTGAGATACCTTGAGTTGCTCCATTGAAAATTCTAGGAAGCAAGAGATGCAAAGCAGGTGCTCAAGTCTCACGGAAAAGGCTTCATGGGTTTAAATTTCACCAAAGTGGTCAACATAATACAAATAGGATTCTGTTGGTTGGACCGACTAATATACAAGAGCACAAAGACCCACTGTAACATCAATGTGGTAAAGGGTTAGGGTTAGGGTTAGGGTTAGGGTTAGGGTTAGGGTTAGGGTTAGGGTTAGGGTTAGGGTTAGGGTTAGGGTTAGGGTTAGGGTTAGGGTTAGGGTTAGGGTTAGGGTTAGGGTTAGGGTTAGGGTTAGGGTTAGGGTTAGGGTTAGGGTCAGGGTTAGGGTTAGGGTTAGGGTTAGGGTTAGGGTTAGGGTTAGGGTTAGGGTTAGGGTTAGGGTTAGGGTTAGGGTTAGGGTTAGGGTTAGGGTTAGGGTTAGGGTTAGGGTTA